CACACGCACACACGCACACACACGGAAGGAAACTGCCCTGTTTCATTTGGACAAACCTCCCTCCTGCAGATCTTCTAGATTCTGAAGAGCCTCCAAGTTTCTGGACAACCCTTGGAGAATACTCTTGCTGTTTGCAGAGCCCAGGACTTCCCTCAGCTACCCTCCATCCCCCACTTCCCTACCCCCGCCCCCAGACTGCAGTGGGGGCGTCAGGGACTCTACAAGCTCCACCCCTAGGGGCCCTCCCCCTCCCAATAGGCTGCAGTGCAAAGATCCTGGAGGGGCGCATTCTTTACTCCCCCTAGGTCAGAGCTGGGGTCTGGCAAGGACTCTTGCTCAGCGGTAGTCACTCTCCCTCCCTTGCCCAGCTCAGGACAGACCACTGTGGGGACCGGGCCCTCTGTGCCCTCAGCTAGCCCTTCCCCCTGTAATGACCCTTTGCCCTCTCTGGGCTATTGCTGCCTTTGGCCTGGATCACACCCAGGACCGTGTTTGGAGCTGGAGTCTGGCAGCTCCGGGAGGGAGGTGTTCAAGAAGGAAGAGGGAAGGAGGAAGGAGAGACGGACAGGGAGGCAATTTCTGTCCAGGAGTGGTGGCCATTCACACTCTGACCTGCACTGGACGACAGCCAGGCCTGGCTCCCTGCAATCGGGACCCCAGCATGCTGTCTCCTGAGGGCCTGACGATTCCACGTGTTTGTAAAAGCACTTTTCACGTCATCGCTTCTCCGAGCCTCCATTTCTTCATCTAAAAAGGAGGCCCTCAGGGGCCTCGCTGGGCGCCATGCCCTTCACACAGCAGTTACTCCACCAGGAGGGCACTGCCGTGGCAGGCACCAAGGGCAGAAGGACAGCACAGACATGCCAAGCCCTACGAAGGCCAGCTACAGAGTAGCCTCATAGTCGGCTGTACACCAGATGTCAAGCTGGCACACAGGGAACCCTTTGACCCCCATGCCAAGGAGGGGACCCTAGGTCTGCCGAGGAAGCCAAGGAAAGCAGTGAGGAAAGAGCTGGGCCTGGAGGTGGTGGCTGCTATGAGCAATGTATGTGAGGGCTGTGAGGGATTAGGTGGTCCCCAGGGCTGCAAACTTAAGCTCTGGACAGAGGGTCCTGGGTTCAAATTCCATCTCCACCATTATCTTTTTTAAAAAATATATTTTTATTGATTTCAGAGAGGAAGGGAGAGGGAGAAAGAGATAGAAACATCAATAATAAGAGAGAACCATTGATGGGCTGCCTCCTGCACCCCCTATACTGGCGATCGAGTCCACAACTTGGGCATGTGCCCTGGCAGGAAATCAAACCGCAATCTCCTGGTTCATAGGTTGATGCTCAACCACTGAGCCATGTCAGCTGGGTAATATTTACTTTTTTATTGATTAAAGTGGAAATACATG